ACACCCTAGCCAAGGGAAAAGAGAAAGTTTTTAATGCGAAGACCACCACCGATCCTGGAAGTCGAGCAGGCAGGCAGGTAAGGTTCTTTCTCCAAAGGATTTCCACGTTTTCCTCTCACCTGCTATTTCTCTTTCCACCGGCACAAAGGCCGCATCAAGAATCTACGATCTCACTGTCGACCAGGGGAATACCAGAAGTTTTTCCATTCGCCGAAACGACGGCGCGGAAAAGACGTAAGCGCGCAGCCTGCCCTTATTTCGTTCCTACATGGAATTCCCGCTGTTCCTTCCTTCGTTTCGTTTTTCTTTTTCTCTCTCTCTTTCTCTCTCCGCCTAGACCGCGACGATAGTTAGCGAGATCAAGCGAAACGGCCTGGGTTCCAAAGCACCGATCTCAGCCGGGGGTCTCGCTCGACGACTCACTGGAAGAGAGATATACATAAAATTTTCGTCGGCGAAGCTCCTTTTTGATCGACGCTCCCTCTTCCGGCCGGGCGTAATGGTGCTCGAGTAGAAAGGAACGCGGACCAGAGAATCCTTCGTTTTGTGCTCGGTAAAATTCATGAACTTCCGCGTTCTAGGCCGGCAAAGAAGGAATTCAATACCCCGGGAGAAATACAAATTGCGGGCGAAAAATCTTGCTTCCGGCTCGTACACGCCGGGGGCGCGCGCACCCCTCCACTCCTTCCACGGAGAAGGATCTCTCTGATAAATCGGGTAAATAAAGGAACGAAATGAAGAGCATTCCATATTTCCTGGCTCATCGCGGCCACCGGAAGTTGAATTCCTTTTTACGAGCAAGAGGAATTCAGTTAAGGATGGCGCTATCAGGATCATGAACTGGAATATATTTCGCCACCAGGGAGCGTCTATTTGCCACGAAACACCCTGTTTCTGTTCGAAGCAGATGATATCCATCAGTCATAAATGAAAAGGAGGTAAGAATCGTGATTCGATTTTGAAGAAAGTTACAAGGTCGAATAACATTAATCTACTAAATTGGTTTCGATAAAGAACGAAGAATGATACGTCGAAATTGCTATAAAATCATCGAACATCGCATCGACAGCTGTCACCTCGAAGAAAAAACCGTGAAAGACCTCGGACCCATTGAGATTCTACGGTCGACCCGAAAGAGTACACGATATCTGCGCGTCACTTCGCAGGTGAAGCGATACGGAACGAATATTGGAATGGCAAACAGTGTGTATCGTTGAATTCAAGAATGCTTTATTCTGGCACATTCACCCCCCCCCCCCCCCCCCACGATTCGGCATTCACGAACGAGACGACGTACAGTCTGTGGGTTTTATATCCTTGTTCAGCCCCTTCCCATTATATGCGCCCGAGATTTTCTGTTTGAACTTCTGGTCCAGCGAAACAAGTTCCCCCGTTCCCGCGTACACCTTTCCACATAACCTAAAATAACCTCTTCTCGGAGCTCTGAGCGCTAGAAACTTTCGACCAAAGAATGCACCGATTAAAGGTTTATCGAAGTACGATAACCTCGATCTTTGCTACATTGTTGCGATAGAAATTATTTCAATGAACGTGTAAATTAACTAAACTAAATGGAACGAAGTATACAAGATGATACTACACAGTTATCTATCTACTTTGTGGTCCAGAATCCATCTAGAGTGCAACATTCCCGGAAGCATTCACGGTATACAGTAAACCATCGGTGAGTGTCCGAAAGTTTCTCGACAATCATTGTTCAGACGGCATCCCCTTCACTGGGTGCTTGACTGGTTCCACGGGGGACCCTGCAGTGGTGAGGATGACGACTGAACACTGACTGCCGAGGACCCTTCCAACACTCATCGATGATTTACTGCATTAACATCTGTTAGATACCTGCTTTCAATCTCGAAACAAATCAACGTCCTCTGTCACTATATTCCCCTTCGATGAATCCATACAAGCGATCCCAGGGTTCGCATGAAACAATTCGCCGGCTAGTCGCGGTGGAATCAATGAGGGGTCGGTGACTGCCGCGTGATCTCGTTCCGTACAGTAGCGGGGCCGATAAACCGACGTCGTCGTTGCGCGTCGCGGGTGCTTCGGGGTCGGACGAAAATTTGTTCGGGGTCGGGGAGCCGTCGACAGGTTCGTTCGTATGCATAGCCGGGTATGTTGATTGGCTGGCACGCAAAGTCGGTTCCCGCCGGCACCGACAAAGTCTGTGGTCTGATGTACTCGCTGCCTGCCAGCCTGCCTGCCCGTCCTCCTGTCTGCGTGCCTACGCGTCTCCTTGCATCCTGACTCCAACGACGGATATTGCATACGCGTTGTATTAATATGTATTTAAATTAGTGCCTCAAAGCGATTCGAGATTACGCGGTTCTCCTTGACGCCGGATTGATGCCACCGTACGCTGCCCTTTTACGGAGTCAGTAGGCCAAACCCTCGAGTAATAGAAATCGTTAGGGATCTTGGAATTCATTGAGAAGTGGGACTAGGGGATGTTTAAGTTATGAACGATTTGGAGTTTTTTAAATGTATCATTTAAATGAATCGAAGATAGAAATATCTACTGGCAAAAGATCGATTAAATTATCCGATTGTCCTGAGTATGAATTTGGGAAATATTTAGTACCTTGAACAAATAAAGTTTCAAACATCACTTGACTAATAGCAAACAACGATTCCAGTGTACTAATATTTACAACGATTCCAGTGTATTAATATTTGCAACGATCCCAGTGCATTAATGTTTAACAAATTCCCATGGAATTTCTTTGCTTATCATCACCAACAAATCGTGTATCGTGCACCGATCAAAGCACGCGAGAAATTTTGTGTGATCAGTGTCACGGGACATCAAGAGATTCCCTCGACTTTAAAGTAAACCCCGGTGGCATGTTAATAAGAAGACCATGGATTCAATTTTATCGGAGAATAATATTTCCACGCTTTTTCCATGGAGCACAGCAGACGAAACCTGGCCGGAGCGAAAATTAAACATATTCGACCGAACACCGGATGCAATATTAAAAGTACTTCCAATCGAATACCACGAGTTCGTACACGAACGTGGAGTAAAACTTCCATTAGAAGCTATCCAAGAGATCGTGAAAAACGTACGACAGGAAGGAAATCATCGTTCGATCCCTCGAAAATTATTCGTCGTTGGAAAAGTTCAAAGGGAAGTCTCGTTCCGACCTTTCCGCCAGGAGCGATTATTTCCGAGCGTCAAATCGCTTAAAACTTGGGAAACGGCCACTAAAGCGGACCGAAGTTTACCCCGCGCCGCTTTAATATATGTATATATATCTTGTTCAAGGGGTAGGGGTGGGTGTACTTTCTTATTTAGCGATAATTACGAGTTCCCGGCACCGCCTCGGTTGGCCGTCCCCCAGCGATCTTAAGACCTCCTTGCATCGGCTTTTCCCTCCATTGAGCGAAGCCGGGTCCGATATCACGGCAAGATATTGCACGTTGAATGGAAAATTGATTAACGCCCACCACCACTAACACAATATGTTTTATCGGGGCTCGCTGATAACCGGTGATTCTTCGTCGAGCTACTTACACAGCGCGATCCCCTTCCCCATGTTGCTGCAGTTACGGAGCCCGTGATATACGATGTTTATACGGCCCTGAATTTGCATCGTCCTTAGAAATACAGAGCCCGAAAAGTCGAGGTATCGAGGGAGGAAAACCGAAGAAATTGGGATGATTGATGGGGAACGCCGATTCATAGACTGGAATTCAAAGGAACTGAAGATCCTGTGAACGAAGATCCAGCATTGGAAAAAAATATATCCAAGGACTGACGTTCCTGTAAATGAAGATCGACTGTCAGAGAAAAATTTCTCTTCGTCACAGGAATGTTACTAGGTCATTAACCCGCGTAATACCAAAATTGATTGAATCGAAAATGGGGATAGAGAAGAACTCGAAGATTCTGAACACCGTCAGAAATGCTAAATACATTTTGGAATATCGTCGGTGAAGTTTCCTTGGAGTTGCGAGGAGGGTAAGGGGCGCAATGAAAGTCTTGGTTTTCAAGGAATATTTAAGCTGCTTTACATTTAACGAGCGAATGGCTGAATAGTTAAACCGAAGCGATAAGACGAATTCGTTCTTTTAGCGGAAGATAATATAAGCGGGACACCCCCACGGTGGCGGTGTGTTTGCAGGGTGAAACGGCGAGGTCTTCGTGTAGCAATTAGCGGGGAACGTGGGTGTCAACTTGGATGATAGATAATGCCGGGAGCGTGCCAGAAATTGCGCCTAAGGAACCAAAAACCGTGTGCATTCGATGAGACCTGCTATCGTTGTTACGACAGACACGCAATTTCGTTCATGGAGAAGGGAAGTGGAAGATGGAAATTTCGCGAATTCTCGTGAAAAACGTAAATTGTTGTCTAAATTTAATAGTAACATTAAGACCAGCATTGTTTGCACCGGACGAGGGAAATAATGGTATTCAAGCAAGCGTTGAACTGTTTTTTCGGTCTCGCTAGCGAGAACGGTTCGTTGGAATAGTTCGCGTGCTTCGTTCAACTTCGCCGGCTAAATTCTCGGAGAGTCTGGGAAGGGCGCGAATCTAATCGAAATATAATACTAATTTACTTGATATAAACCAACGTTACTTCCCTCCACCCCTGGTGTAATTATTTACCGGGCTATTCGTAGTTGGTACACGTTTCCTTTATAATTACGTGAATTCCATTAGCGGCGGGGTCCCGCTATAGATCTAACGCGTATTACACCGAAATACTTTTTCTTTTATGCGCCGCCTTAAATGGAAATAGATTTCGCCGTTTCCGCGGGAATTAAAACGTAAATTACAATGCACCGCCATGGGCGCTTATCTTTTATGTTTTATGCAAGTGACGAGTAAAAGAAAGGAAAGGAGGGTGGAAAACGGACGGGGATCAACTTCGCGATCTTGAACGAAGATTCATCGCGGCTCTCCACTTAAGGAATTAACAACGTTTTTATACTGCCTGAAACGAAGATATCGTTGAATTGTAAGAAAATCCACCTACCTTGGCACATGATGGTGATGATGTGAAGTATACTGATGGTCAGGTACCGTCTTCTTCTTAGATTGTCCGCCATCTTGTTGCCGTTCCGTGTCTTAAACTTTGTGGCTTATCTGGAAAAGAGGAATAAAACGAACATTAATATGTCTATGACAGAAAAGAAATAATAAACTTCTATCGGATATATCCTATTCTGATAGAATCGTGAATAGATACAAAACAAAATAATGTAAAAGGGGGACTGTAAACGGAGAAAAATTAGGAACCTCCCGAAGTCGAAAAACGGGATAATGAAAATATCGTGTATGTATAATAAATATATAATAATAATAAACTCCAAATATAAAGTACAATAATTATGTATGATAAATGCAGTCGACAAAGTATTGGGTACCGTATAAAATACAAAATACAAATGATCATCGACCCGGAGATTCGGATGAAAAGGTTCGCCAGCAATTGACAGGCGGGCACCGGGTATATCGTTAAGGGTGCCGTGTCAACGAGCACGACAGGAATATGTAAATACCGCAGCATCCATCCCCGTTGTAGGATGCGTATCCGAATGCATATTGGGGATGCTGCGGCAACGTATCGTTGATTCGTCGATACGTCGAGAACCCATGGGGCCGTGAAATCATTAACGCATGGCTAAGTCAGCGTAATAGAGGGATCCTGTAATTAACGAACGCCCCGATGTTAATCAGGTTTATTGGGCTGTAACATACGCAGTATAACCACTTGAGGAATATACGGGGGCCTTATTCGCGGGCGATGGAAATAAAAAGAAGCTTGCGTGTCCATAGAACTCTAGCGGGGAACTGTTGGCTCTGAGACGGGTCGATGAATGGCCAGGCGAGAAAAAACGAAAGGCTCGAAGACGGCGACCCGTGACTGGGTATTGAAACGAACAGGGTTCGAAATGCGATTCGACCTCCTCTCTACGGATTAATCAATTGCAAGACATCGGCGGCAGCTAATAAACACCGAATAAGGTAATATATGTGGTGTGTCTATTAAATAACAAGACTTGGGGCAAAAGTGGGGTTTATTATTGCAATATGAAAACATAACTGTTATTCCCCTATATACCGTTGTATACACATTTTCCATTGCTGGAAACAGTGCTGTAGATCATGGTGTGCCAACCCCTTCAGAGGCGCCACCAGGTCCCTTCAATCGCTGCTCACAGACTCACCATGAGCGACACCCAGCTTGTCTAGTCTGCATTATGACGCTTAGAGATCACTCGCCACGTGTGTGCTTCCTTCTGCTACGAATATATCGCGTACAGGGAGCCAAGCCTCATTATTTAATAGACATACCTCGTATACGTCGACGATCTAAGAATATAATTTCCATATGAACTCAACCAATCACCGAAAACGAAACACCGACAGGCATCCGTAAATTGAATTCCAGCTGAGGGATTTTCGCTGATGCGAAAACAAGCCCCGCCGCGAGTCCACCGAGAGAGACCCAATATTTCGAGCTAATGATTAAAGTAACACGAAGGTCGGTTGAATTTATTTTATTTCCCCGCCTCTGATGCCCCGCGTGTATCGCTAATTACCTATTGTACGCGATTTCTCGACCATCGCTACTGCCAACCGTGGAAACATCAACAGAAAAAACAGAGGATCGTGTTTAAAATCACGTCGACGTGAAATTTCGTTTTGCTTCAGAGTCGTCCACATAGAAACGTAATACTGCCGCGATTCCATGTAACACAATTTTTCTGAAAAAACTGCTGCACAAACAGAACGATATAGATTTTTGTTTCTGTAATCCGTCGGGTCGATACGAAAATATTTTGGGCTTACGACTAGTAGGTATTAACAAGAACCGTATCACACTATCACGAAACATCACTATTCAGTATTCATTTCTATTTTGATTTCTATATTGATTCAACGATTTTCGATCTACGGAATTTTTTCGTCTCGAGTCACGCGTATACTTGCAGAATTTCCCGATTAATCCCACCGACGAAGCGTCATGCGATCTTTCGCGGTCGAGCAAAGTTCCAGGCGAATAATTCCACAGCTTAATATCCTCGAAAGTTTTAATCGATGCGCGTGGAGATTAAAGTTGATTTAAAAAATTTCACGATCCACGGATTAACATTGTCGCGGTTCCTTTTTTTTCGCCCCGGCGACGACGACGCCGGACTATATACAAGGCCGTTCGAGGGTTACGGGGGCCGCTGGCTGCTGTGTAACTTGATTCATTCCGTTATTACAAGTTTTACGAGTTAATTAACGGAGATTTTTCGAGTAATATCGCGCCACGGGGGGGTACTTCGGTAAAGCGGCTCTTGTTATTACATCACGCTTTTACACATCCGCCCCGTTGAAATTACCGCGGGTAGCTGCAGCTATCGCCCGCCCGACACATAATTAGTAAACTCGGTTAACAACATGACGCCTATTAACTGACGCTATCGTTAGAGACCCCCCACGTTTATTTATTTATTTTTTTTTCGTGAAACTTCTTTCAGTATCGGCTAACGTAAGTGTAAAACGAGATTCAACAGACTTGCCCCTCGATGGAAAAGGACGTTATCCGTTACCCTTTCGCTCGTCACGAATTGCCAATTAATACACGGTCGCGAAACTTTCCGGCGCTTGGTAACCGAATTTAAACGAGCCTCCGATTGCCCAACGATCCATCGTTTTTGCCATCGATTTATCGAGACCGCGCTGCAACTGTGTACCTACAGAAAAATCCTATTATTTTCAGGATGGACACACAGGACTGTCCACTACTACTATGGGGTACTTCCGGCGAAGATAAATCCTTATAAACGAATAAACCGAACGAGTAAAATAACAGGTTTATTGCTTCCCCCACGAAAAGAAATTATTTATCGCGAGAGCTAGAAATATTTCTCCGAATTAACAGACTAGAAAGGAAAATCCATCGCGGACGATACTTCTGTCGAAGTTATATTTTCGAGCGATTCATAAAACGTTACGGGACCAAAGTCAAAAACAACAGCGCTCGGTTACATAACTAATCCGAAACAGCAGCTCGTAAACCCCGTGTCGGAAGTGTCGTTACATAAAAAATACACCCGATCCGTGGCAATTAGAAAATTGTCCCCGGTTTTCGGGTTCGGCGAACCGGATGCCGATTATTATATCGTTTTTAACCGGGATCTCTCTGTTTTTCACCCCTCCACCTGCGTAGTAATACACGTAACGGCGCCGATTGTTTAATCCAATCGGACAAATGGGCCCCCCCGACCAACGCAGAACTAACCGAACGGCGATGCGTCCGCTCGAATCGAGGCTGTGTTCCTGCTGCTGCTGTTACGCGTTCAGATTTACGAGGCGATTTACAAATTGGCGGTTATTGTGCCCTCCCAGCTCGCGGAGATCAAACTGTCCTGTAAATCAAAACGTCTGCCAGCGTTCATTAAACGTCACGGCAAATCCCGGAAATCGGTCGCCAGGAGTCCGCCACTCACCCGCGCCAGTCCTATCTCTTTCCGCGCGCGTCGACCGCCGCAGCGAGCGTTTCCGTTTCCTGCGTCTCCTCCGATACGCGCACACGAGCATCATTACCATCGTCGAATTTCCACGGAAAGTCGTAAACCATTTCCCCTGGACGGGGGAACGAGACGCTTTGTTTTTCCCCGCGAGACAACGAAATAACTCTGAAACGAACTCGCGTCGAGAGGATCGTCGAAAATAATTGTTTAATCTGCACGGCGGCCGTCACCGAATTCCGGGGGCCCGGTCTGTTCCCGGCGTCACGTTACTTTATTTTTACACGAGGCCGTTGCATTTGCACGGATTGCCTCCTACCATGTCGCTGTTAACCCACCGTGAATTCGAGTAACAGACGCGTGGGTGGAGAGAGGATGCGACTTGGTGATTAGCTCGTACTCGGGGTACCATAGCGTACCTCACAGACATTGATAGTTATTTATATAAATTGGTTCGTAGCGGAAATAATTTAGGTGCTCGAATTAGAATTAACACCCTGTATATAATTTTTCTTGTAAATGTGTCAAGTTAATTTTGTTTAACACCTTCACGCCGAGACTCTTAAATTGTTTTCGCATATCGAAAATAAAACGTTTCAACGCGAACAGCCACGCTAAAGATATTTTAGTTCAGCATTCGGAACGGTATCGGACCGTGAAATTTCGCTTATCCTGTCGCTTTTTTTTCCTCCCGCCGAGCTCGGTTAAAATCAGCGATTTCGATCGGAAAAGGAAACCGTCCAACGAACCGAGCAAAAATCTCCACTGTTAATTCCGATTTGATTTATGGAATTACCGGGATAAAACCGTCACGTTAGTAGGCCGATCCCGCGATGGAATCGTACTCGAACGACGATTTCTCGATTTCGTAGGCGATTCCGAAAGAGAGCGCGAAAACGGTCGAAATTATGCAACGAGTCAGGGGTGGGTTAGGGGGTTGAAGGAAAATTAAAACGACACACACACACATAATCCACGGTCACACCACTTTGGCTTCCATTCCTCTTCCCCGAATAATCCGTCGGTCTCCATAAATCTCTTTTACGGTCCGGTCTTCATTAAAAATGTTACGAGGATTTCGCATCGAATCGCGCTCACGATTAAACCGCGCGCCTCTACGTTGACATTCGAACGAACTCTGGTCGATGACTCTCTTGTTTTCTTTTTTTTCTTTCGACACGATACATGCGACGATCGTAACGGACGCACAGAGGGGAAAAATAGAGGCGAAAAGGGAACAGAAAGAGAGAGAAAGAGACGACGACGATTATTCGAATCGCTTGACATTTCGTCGACGAACTTTGTACTCTTCTGTCCGGCAATTTTCCTATTTAGGTCAAGCAAGATGACACGGACCGCGTACTCTACCCTTCCGTATCGCTGCTATTCCGGGTACGATCGTCAACCAAAGTGAAACAGAGAGAGAGAGATAGAAAGAGCAGAGAGCGAAAGACGATATCGACTCGATTGAAAGTACCAAACGCCGAGGAAAAGTCTGCGCCCCCCCCCCGTTCTTTTGAACAGCCCTCAGAAATTGCTGGAAACACACACATACACACATGGGTGATGGGGGTGGTGGATAAATTCCCTGAACCAAATTCTTGCTACGACCATTTCCAC